ATTTGATTTTCTTTGGGGAGGCCCTTCCCATTTTCCTGGGTATAAGGGAGCTTAAAGCTGTTACAGCCCAAGCCCAAAGCTGATCTGGGAGTTCTCAAATTCCCTCTGGCCATGCAGGCCTCAGAGCCACATCAGTTCACTTACAATTCCTTAATGCTCTTTGCTATTCTCTGGCTTATATTTTGGCCATCAGTTTTGTCTTCTTAATAGACCCACATCCCTGGGGACAGAGCCCTGGTCTTAGACTTCTATTTCCCACATAGTGCCTGACTCAGGATAGAACACAAGTTATGTTGCTCAGTACTTGGTTAAAAATGCCTTTTCCTCACTCTGGAGTTAAGATGATGGAATAAATCTCAGGCAATAGTTGATTTTTATGGTAAGATACCTGGTGGTGAACCCATATATACCAAATTGATGAGTACATATTATAGCAATTACCAGAAGGGCAGATCACTTCAAAGCGGGCTTTATGCCTGGAGATGTCCACTGCAGTGCTGTTTATAATAGCAAAAAAAGTGGAGCCACCGTAACTGTTCCTCAGGAGGAGAGGCTGGGTAAATTAGGGTACATGCATACATACAGGGAGGTAGTAAGCCAGCAGCTATTCTGAAGAAGAGAGTAGAACCAAATGTTCAAAATGGTATCCAAGGAAAGTTAGATGGTATGATGCAATTTATGTAAAAAGAAATGGGGTGCATGCACACATGTGATACATACATAGAAAAATTTTGGAAGGCTACACAAGAAATTTCATATTGGTTATGGCAGGGGAATGGATGGAGACGGGGTGGGTACTTTTATTACTTAATTTTTCTGGCAATGAATTTTATCATGACTGTATTGTTTTTATTAAAAAAAAAACCAACTAGTTAGAAAAATAAGCGATCTTTGGATGCCATCTAAAGGATGCTCTTTCCAGTGTGGGGGGTTGAGGGCAAGGCAGAGGAGGGTGAGCGGGGTGGGCACCAGGCAAGCGGAGGGCGCGTGTTTCCCACACTGAGTGGTTATTGGTGCTGTCCGCTACTGATCTGCTGGCCAAACCAAACAACCTTCCAGCTCTATCCCAGGAGGTGGAGAAAGATGGAGCATGAGAATGTTCTGAATCACAGCCTATGGAGTGACTTCAGTTAAAACTTCCAGGACAGGGGTACCTGGCTCAGTTGGTTAAGCCTCGGACTTCAGCTCAGGTCATGATCTCACGATTTGTGAGTTCAATCCCCACGTTGGGCTCTGTGCTGACAACTGGGAGCCTGGAACCTGCTTCGGATTCTGTGTCTCCCTCTCTGCCCCTCCCCCACTCACGCTTTTTCTCAAAAATAAAACATTAAAAAAAAGAACTTCCAGGACATTCACTGACCCTGCCAGTTGCCACCTATCCCACCCTGGAAGTTGGCCGTAACACCCTGCAGCACCTAGCACGGCGCTGACCACATAGTTAGGGGCTTCATGGTTTGGGGCAGATGAAGTTACTGTCTCACTCAAAAATCAACAATGGCTTACCACTGCTCATTGTATGAAGTTCAAACTTACCTTGGTTTACTTTGCCTTCAAGGCTTTTCTGTGATCAGCCCCAACATTTTCAGACTCATTTGCTATGATTTCTCTGTATCTATCAGCATATATACCAGCCCTGCCTGGGTTCAAATCCTGGCTTTGCTGCTCACCCTTCTGTGCCTTGGCTTCCTCATCTGGAAAACGGGAGAATAATAACAGCACCCACATCACGGGGTTGACATGGGAATTAAATGCATTAATACACAGAAATGCACGTAGGAGGGTGACTGGCACAAGGCAGATGGTACTTAAATGTTGCCTGTATCTATTATGCTTTCCTAGCCTCATTCCATGGTTCTGGCTGGAACACTCTTCCTGGTCAGTCCTACCCATCTTTCAGAAGCCGTATCAGGCAGTGCCTATCCCCTTATCCCCCCAGGGTAATCAGTGGTTCTTGGACTTTCAGAATCACTTGGGGAACTTGGCAAAATGCAAATTCCTGGGCCAGACTCCTAGAGACTCCACTGCCGTCTGCAGCGTGGCCCAGAAACCTGCACCCAGGGGACACCCATAATGTGTCTTTTGGGGCCACACCTGGTAAAACAGCCAGAACTGGATTTCTCCTGTGGATTCACCAGTATTTCCATCATTCGTTTTTTTTAAATTAAAAAAAAAAGTTTATTTATATTTAAGGGGGGCGGGGGGGCAGAGAGAGAGGGAAATACAGAATCTGAAGCAGGCTCTAGGCTCCGAGCTGTCAGCACAGAGCCTGACACCGGGCTCGAACTCATGAGCCGTGAGATCATGACCTGAGCCGAAGTCGACACTTAACCGACTGAACCCCCCTGGGTGCCCCGTTTCCATCATTCTTGTGGCCCTTCCCAACCTAACCAGCGTCTTGGCCTCAGGCCGCCTTACTCCTTTCCATGTTGTCAAGAGGTGCAGCAAAATGTGGTTCTGGATTATGTCACACAACCAGTGAGCGGACGCCCGGTGAAGTCAAATAGGCTTGGCCAAGGGAAGAGCTTCCTCAGAGAAAGAGGCCTGGGGGTCCTCAGTGGAAATGCCTCAGAAGTGCCCTGAGGGACTAAAGCTTCCACTTAAAAGATCATGTCTTTCCTCAAAAACCAAAAGCTTCGTGTTCCTTCTCTCTCCCACAGTTGATTGCACATCATGCTCTGTGACATAAGGTCTTGTGCTGGTATCCACCATGTTCCCCTTCTGGAACTCTGTAGGCTGCTTCAAAGATGGGCTAGAAATGTTCTACTGCATTATTTGTAAAAGTTTCCCGAAAGTGTAAGAATCAAAAGGGAGTGAAAGCTTCCGATGGTCAACAGGAAACCCTCCCCACTCCCCAACTCTGCTCTGGGAACCTCACAGACTTCCTGAAGTAAAAACAAACACCGTGACCAGTTTCTACTTCTTGTAAGAATTTAATTCTTCCTTTAATATAAATAAGGCAGCATGAAACACCGAGAGCCCTGCTGCTCTCTGCTTCAGAAGCAGCTTTGCTGCATAAAGACCCCCATTTCCCCACTGAGTTGGCATCTCTGAATAAACAAGAGGCCAGAAGGTTATTTTTCAGTGAACTTTCTTCTGGGAGCCAAGGGAGGTTCAGGCTTGGTCCTGGCTTCTGGAGGCTGGTTCCTGGCTGTGGGGTCTCCTCCAAGCACAATAAGATACGGATGAAGGAGGGGGGAATGCAAGGCACAGGCAATAATAAATATGGAAATTCAACCCGACTCTGGAAACAAGTCCCAACTGAATGGGGGGCCTGGGGCTACTGTTGGGGACCACGTGGGCACGCCCCTTCCCTGCAGCCCCAGCCGCCAGTCTGTGCAGTCTGACTCCAGCTCACACGGAAGGGTTCCTACAGGTTTCAGTGTTCCATCACAGCCCAGCCTGCTGCGAGTAAACCCTGTCAGGCAAACCGGTTGTCCATCTTCCAGAGCCCCTGGGGCCAGGTGAGAGAACCTCTGGGGTCAGGACAGGATCCTCTGCAGCTCATGGTGAGCCTGACAGCCTGGTGGACCGGGTAGGCTGTTCAGCAGGCATGGCCGGCTTAAACCCTGGATGGGAACTCAGGTGCTGGTGCAGGCGCCCTCATTCTTGCCTCCCCCTCGGCTTGCTGTAAGGGTTACTGAGGCAATGCCATGAGAGGAACTCCCAAAGGGCCAGTGAAGCCACAAGTGGAGGAGGAGTGGCTTCCCAACCCCCCTAAACAGGCCTGGAGACAGGCCAGTGCCCACCACAGGCTCTGGCACCTGCCCAGTGACCGGGACCCCCGGCCGCACTGAGGTGACCTCTCTGGGGTTTGGGGGCTGGGTCTGCACTACCGTCCCTGTGTGCTCCCAGTCAGCTGAGCCTCTCCGGGTCTTGGTCATCTGTGTGGCTGGCAAGGCCCCTTCCAGAAAAGAGGGTTCTGTGCAGTGAGGGAGCCCCACTAGAGACAGCAAGTCTTGGGGCCAACAGATGGAGCTGGGTCTCCCCTGGCCTCCAGGCGCTCCTGCTTTGGGACCGAGACCCTGCTGAAGAAAACTCAGGGCTACAGCATCTGTCACTTCTCAGCTCTGCAACTTTCTCTAAACCGGGCATCAGAGGCCAGGCTGTGAACCAGACCAGAGTACCCTGGGTGTAGGTGCTATCCTTTATCCCACTCACCCTGTGTCTCTTGGAGCTTCCACCTTCGGTATCTGCCCTCCCCCACCACGTAGAGACCGGCTGTGGAGAGAATACAGAGGGGTGAGGGGCCGTGGAGCTTGTACCCTGCACGGTGTGTGGCACCCACAGAGTTCAGCACACTGGGGGAAGGGGTAGGGTGAGGGGGTGCACCCTGAGACGTGTAGCTGAAAAAGCGGCCACATTAAACTTCTCTCTGCCACCAAGTACCCACTTCTGTGCAACAGAGACACTGGCCTCTTGGGGCCTCAAATCTCTACCTGGTCTTTTTTCCAAATAGCTTAAAAAATGGCAGCTGCAGTTAGATTCCTGTTTTGCAGGCTGTGGACAGAAGGTTGCAAATTCCCACGGCTGTCCCTATTAGTGCCTTGGGTGCAGATGGCCGGGGCCAAGAGTGACTGGAAACAGGGTGCAGGGTCTTAACATGCTACCCTGTCAGCCCTCCTAGAGATCGTCTATTGATATCCAAGTAAAGACTGGACCTAGGAGGTAAAAACTGCACTCAAATCGATGTTTGTGTTGTCTTTAACTTAGTGTCCCTGGAGTACTTCATCATCCTCTTGGCCATTTGTGGTGATCCAAAAGTAAGCTGCAGGGCGTCCACCAAACCCAGACTGTAACCTCACCAGTAGGCCCCAGTTGGCATGAAAGCAAACCAGCTTCCAGTGTGGGATTCTTTCCTCCGGGCTGTAGGGCCTGGATTCCCTGGCGGGCTGAGGCTCCCAACAAAGCCCACTGTTTTCCCAGGACAGGCCCTGTAGACACCCCCAGAGGTGTGGACATGTGGGGTGTCCTGCACCCCGGCCCTCTGGGTCCTGGATACTTTACAAGACAACAGCTTTTGGGGGCAGGCTGGCATGGTCTGAGGGGATATGTAGGGAATACTCGCTAATGAGCACTGGGGCGTTCTTCAGCATCTCATAGAAGGAGTCCACCGTCTTCCGGTAGAGACTTCGCTGCAGGACGAAGGGCCGGAAGAGGTTGAGAGGCTCGGCCCTGCGAACGGCCTCAGGGAGTCCCATGGCATTGGGCACCTTGCGGTTGCCAATGAAGAAGTGATGGAGCTTCTTCTCCAGCAGGCTCTTCTCCAGGAATCGGAGCAGCTCGTGCAGGCGAGCATCGAGCTGCCCGGCCTCCCAGTCGGCGGGCCGCCGGGAGACCAGCAGGTGCAGGAGGGCTGTCTTGAGGTGGTAGTTGCTGAGCCCACTGGGGCCAGTCAGGCGGCTCTGCTTGGACAGCAGGAAGGAGGCGATCTGCAAGCAGCTGAGGTGACAGGCACCCTCAGGCAGCGCCTTAGACGTCATCCTGAGGAACTGTCGCTCGTAGACGGCAAAGGACAGGAGCCAGTCAGTGCTGGACGCCGGGGCATCCCCAGAGGGCTCCCTGGGAAGGTGTGAGACAAAGTACAGGTCCGAGTCGTCACACTGGATCACAGGAATCAGGTTGAAGGGCATGAACTTCCCTGAGCGGAACCTGATCTTGAGGGACCCAGGGGAGTCCAGCTGACCAAATGCCAGGTCGAACTCGTATTTGTGGGCAATGCGGTGCCAGGCTCTGGTGAGGGCCGTCTGGAACCATTTCATGACCTGCATCGTGTCCAGGTATGGGGCGCCTCTGGCACACAGCAGGGTTTCCACCTCGCTGCCTGGCCGTGCCAGGCTCTTCTTGCCGTGGAGGAGACACAGCATGTCTTCCCCGAGCTTGGTCTTGTCGCAGATGCAGCCCAGGGGATCCTCGTCGGCCCGGACCACCTTGATCTGGCCGTAGCCCTGGCGATCCAAGGGCACGGGGTGGCGGGAGCAGCAGAGCTCTGCGTGGAAGTGGTAGGGCTCGGGGGGCATGAAGGGCACGAAGAGGTCGCACAGCAGCGGCCTGTCCACCTGCCAGTTCTCATACATGCTGTCCACGCCAATGAAGTCCTCCACCTCCATGTCCGTGTCGCGGTTGCAGAGGCTCCTCAGGGCCTCCAGCAGGTCATCCACAAAGCCTTCCACAAACTCCCGGGTGCGGGCCGCGTCGGCCGTGGCCCCCCGGATGCAGCGCTCATAGAAGTGGTCGAGCGTGCCCTTGTTGGGCAGGGTGAGGCCCCGGAGCGGGGCACCCTCCAGGCTGGGCAGCTCGTCCTCGTCCCCGCCCGGGCACTCGGGTGAAGGCGCGTCCTGGTGGTCCTGCCGCCACACCTCGATCACCAGGAAGAGGATCATGCACAGGGTGCTCCACATGTCCCAGGCCGTGCGGCTCTCATTCTGCTGCTGGCCTTCCTCCGCCACCCGCTCCAGCGCCTCCTTCTCGGCCGCCAGCCGGGCCACCTCCTCCTCCAGCCGCAGCTGCTCGAGCTGCAGCTTCTCCTGGTGCGCCTGCATCTTGCGGATGATCTCCTCCTCGTTCTCGGGGACCGTGGCGTTCTCCCGCGGGAACAGCAGCGGGTGGTTGATGATGGCCGTCACCACCACCAGACACACCCGGAAGAGCCCCAGAGCCATGGCTGCAACTTTCCTGTCACACAGAGACACAGATCAACGGTCACACCCAGCGTCTCTCCGTGAGGCTTCTTCCCCGGACCCTCACACCAACCCCGGCCCCATGGAGCTGGTGAATGTTTTATGGCTCTTCTCCCACCCAACCCGCGGTCTCCTTGTGTGCTTCCGTGTAGCCTTGGAAGAAAGAACTGCAAAGAGTCCCACACCAGCAATCCTGGCTGAGCAACCCACAGAGACGGCCCTGTTTCTGTCTGCCCAGGTTTTCCTCTCTCTGGCAGGAGCAACCCACTTTCCCCAGCAGTCAACCATTTTCTGCTCCCTGTCCTATGGGTTGGGTGGATAATTCCACCCCGGCTCCAGGGAGGAACATACAACTCAGGCCCAAGCTACTCCCTGCCCCGACAGTGTGGATTCAGTGAGGAGCAGAGGACCTCACTGGGGCCAATGGGAGGGAGGCCCAGGTAGGATTTGTTGGGGCCGATGGGAAGAAAGACTTGCCCTGTGGCCTTCGTTTGCCAGGGAACAAGATTATAGCTGCCGGTGGCTCTCCAGCTGCCTCAAAGGGGGGACTGCTTGAGAAAGATGCCAACATAGACAAAAGCAGACTCTCTGGATCCATTGCCTCTGGACTTTTAAAATCATATAAATCAATGATTTCATTGCTTTGTTTCAATCAGTTTGAGTCACTTTTCTATCACTTCAACCCATCTCCCCCCACTGAATTCCTTGTGGCAAAGGTGTCTTTCCTCAATGCAGTAAAGCCTAGTGGTTGAGAACAAGAAGGCTGAGTCCCAAGCAATTAGCTGTGTGACCTTGGGCATGTCAACACATCTCTCTGAGACCCAGTGTCCTTACTGTACAAGAGGAAAGCCACGATAGCCACAGGGTCACAGTACTGATGGATGCCGTGACCCGTGAAAAGTGGGTACACAGCAGTGGATGGTGAACAGCATATATTCATCCAATAGCAAGTGCTTTTGAAGCAGTTTTGGGCCCTTGTCTTCCCCCGCCGTAAACCTCTCCTGATATGTGAGGCCTCACTCCAAATACAGACACTGACCTCCTGGCCTTCTCCTTGGTAGAGCTCTCCCCAGGGCCATCTTGGAGACAACCAGAGTGACTGAGCCATTGGATTTGCTCTCATGAATCTTCTAAACTTTAAATCTGACTTCTTAGTGTGAAGGGCAATACTCCATTCCTCCAGGACAAATGGAGTTTTAGATCTCAAGTGACTTTTAGGGAAGAGCTAACCCCATTCGATCCTGGGAGTTTGTTAGACACGCAATACCTTGGCCCCATCCCAGACCTACTGAACCAGAATCTGCATTTTAATACCATCCACATTAAAGTCTGAGCCTTCTATTACACCCTCTCCTCTCCTAGGCAGGAAGCTTGAGAAGTAACAACGGGCCTTTTCCATACTTGCCCTGCTCCCCCTGCCTGGGACCTGAGCTAGGAGGGCAAATGGCCAAATGAGGACGTTGTCAGACAACAAAAAACACAGAGGGCTCCCCTGGCCCCCGTATGCCAACACATGCTGATAGGAGCTTTTCCATTTTGCTTGAGCCCCATTTCTTAACCTTCAACTTGCACCCTTAAAACCACTTGTTCGGGTTCTTACCCTAATGGTGCCAAGGAACAGGTATGTGTCATCAGGTAAAGAACCCTCTGCAGATTCTGGCCAGCAGTGCCAGGATGTACACGACCTGAGTTGCCACACTTGGGTAAAGCCCGCTGCTCAGATGTGACTCCATCCTAGACGCAGCTGGACACGCAAGCAGGAACCAAAAGAGGGGTCCGCCTGCAGCCGAATTCAGTGTGCACACACACTCAGGCCTCAGGGGTGCACTTGAGGAGACGGAGGACAGGAGAAAGTGGAGGAAGTCAGACCGGAAGGTGGGCGGGCTGAGGAAAAAGTACAGGGGGCAGCTAGCCAGCTTTTCTTCTCCAAGACCAGGAGCAGTGTGCCAGAGAACTGCAGGAACAGGTCAGCCCTGGTTTCCACATTAGAGACACATCAATGGAAAGTTTTGCCAGGGTGGTCCAAGCCTGGCTTATTAACACGGGTCAGGGTTTTAAGATAAAGGTGTGCTAACAGGCAGAGCACCAGGCAACAGCCAGTTAGCAGGTAATTTGGGGGTGTTGAGGACCTTGAGGGCCCCTGTACTACAGGCCACCTTGGGCATGGCAGGCCCTGACAAGTCACAGTAATAATCCTGGGCAACCCCTGACCCGGGAGGTTAGTTTTCATGTGAACTCAGGATAGGCTGCTACCGAGTGGACAATGAAACCATTGTCAAACCTTAAGACTGGGAAGTCTTCCTCCTCCCTCCCCAACAGCTTCCACAGGGCTACCTGTGTGCATCCTTGGGCCCTGTTCAAGGGCTGTAATGGCCTCCTTGCACTGCGACAGGCAAGGTTCAAAGCTCCAAATGAACTGGAGCCATCGACTCTGTGTGCAAGGGGTTAAGAGGATGGATTCCAGAGTAGACAAGACAGAGCCCAGCACATGCTATGTGACCTTGGACAAACAACTCAACTTCTTAGACCCTCAGTCTCTTCATCCATAAAATAGCAATAATATCTGCCGTTGCAAAGCTTGAACGAGGTAATGCATATAAAGCACTTAACCAAAAAAAAAAAAAAAAAAAAAAAAAAAAAAAAAAAGCTCTTAGCTTTCCTCAGAGCAAGTTTTCTTATAAAAGTGTAGCTGTGAAGTGATGGGATGGGCAAACACAGTGAACCTGCCTGCAGGGGTTCCTGATGGGCCACACAGATGCCTCTACAAGGTACTCAGGAGGATGCAAGCGGCCCACAGTACCACGGACAGGTGGACAGCTGTAGGGTTACAAGACTTGCTGGGACCCTGAGGGAGAGGGTGACAAAGTGGAAAGAGCCTGGGCTATAGAAGCAGACAGGCTTGGGTTTGAAACTTTACTCCTTGCTGAGTGGTCTTGCTTCTCCAGGACTCCACTGCTTTACCCGTGAGATGGGGCTAACAGCAGACCCTCCTTCACAAGGAGGTTGAGTTAAGGGAGATAATTCATCTCAGGTGCTTGGCACGGAGTAGATGCCCTACAACATCAGGGCCTTCCCCTTAGGCCTCTGCGGGCCTCTGTTTTCTCACCTGCTAAGCACACCCTGCCAAGTCCTAGGAGTGCGGAGCAAAGCACGCTCAAAAGTGCTGTGAAAGCATAAAATGCTCCCCCAGTATTGCTGTCCCTTGGCATGCCACTCTGCCCACCCTGCCCTCCAGCAAAGGGGAGAAGCCTCTGGAGGCCTGGATCCTCCTGGAGGTGGAGTTCTGACTCAGTCCTTACTTAAACCGCAACTCCCTCCCAGGGATCAGATGAGGTATAATTTTGCTTTTAACGTGTGGATAGGCCGGCTCTGCCTATGGCACCCTAAGGGATGGCGAACAGGCCGTGGCCACTCAGTGCTCACTAGATGGGGCCGGGATGGATCCTCTACTTTTCCTCCCCAAAACAAACCAAAGGGAACACTGCCCTGGGGCCACTGGGCCAGAAGAATGAGAAGGAACCAGAGTGGTGTGAGTCTTCTTGGAGACCAGAGGGACAGACAGGTATCTGGGAGCCTCTCCCAGAGCCATGGATATATATGTGCGCCTCCCCCACCCTCCCCAAAGGGCCCCTTTCCCCCAATTTGAAAACTGTCCACCTCTGCATTGGCCCAAGGCTCTCAGCTCTACAAGGCTGCCCCAGGCATGTGGTCCAAGACATCGATTGGGTTTGGCTTGAAAATTAACTTGGGTTCCTCTGAGGGCTTTTGTCTGTCTGCTTGCCAGGAAGCCAGCAGGAAACCTGCTGAGTTCCTCTCCACCGCTGCCCTTGCCTACAGAGTGCAGTGGCCCATGCAGGTCACGACTAAACTTAGCCTGGCAAAGGGCCAGGGTCACGAGGCAGCAGGGGCTGGGCAGAAGGCTGCAGGTGGTCAGCCCAGACTAATGGTTTTCTCAGACCCTTATTCTGAGCCTGGCCGGAAGCCTCAGACTCTGGGGGAGAAACCCCAGATGCCTTCTCTATTCCCTGGGGTCTGTCACTCCTGCATCCCCCCACCCCCACAATCACAGCTTAATCCAATGAATGCCACTAAGAATTGTCTAATAGATATATGCTTCTGTTTATCAAGCCCTCACTAGGATGTGCTGGGTGCACAGTGCCCCTGCCCCCCATAACCTTCTACATGGTGGGTATTCTCCTGGTTTCACAGATGGATTAACCAAGCCCAAGAGACAAAGAAATTTTCTAGCCACACTACGAGAAAAGGCGCAGCCAGGTTGAGATGCAGTCTGTTCTGTGTGCTTCCACTTGCACAGCCCAAGTTCTTTCCACCTTGCTATGTTTACAAAGCACCTACTACGTGCAAGGACCATGCTGGATGCTGCAGAGCCCTCACAGATGAGGGCAGCATGATCCCAGGCGGGAAGAACACCACAGTTCATGAGCGGAGGCAGACAGCCACCCGGGACTGTCACAGAACAGAATGAGCTGTGGGCATAAATGGTACATGAGCAGTAGACCACTAAAACACAGAGGGAGAGAGTTTCGTTTCTGTTCTTTGGGGGCTCCTCCTTGTCTGTGGACCTTCCCTGTGCTCACTGGCTGGGGAGATGTGGGTGTGCAAGCCCTTGGCTCCATATCCACCCAGTACCCTCCTTCCAGACAAATTCCTACAACAAACCTGAAGCAGTGAGAGCCTGTGTCCGGCCCCATGTGTTCATCAACACCCCTTCTGCCCCACCAGCCGCCTACCCCCACCCAGAGCTAGCTGGCTGTGGCCTCAGCAGCAGGGGTGCCCAGGACCCATTTCTCAGCAGCCAGCAGTCCCCCGGGACAGTGGTTCTCAAAATATGGTCCCCACTAAGCAGCACTGCAATCACCTGGGGACTTGTTAGAGATGCAAATGTTCAGGTGCAATCTCAGACCTGCTGATCAGAAATTCCAAGGCTGGGGCCCAGCACCTGGTGTCTTAACAAGCCCTTC